CCTGAGGAACATTACAGAGAGTGCCCCAAAATGTATACATTTTAAGAAAGGAAAAAAACTGTATTGACATAGTAAAACTCAATATATACCAATAACGGAAGATGAAAACAAGTCATGTTTAACTTCTGCAACTCCAAGAGATACTCAAAATGGTTCCCATCAGCGTCCAGGCACTTCTGATGATGGTGAACAATCGCTTGACATGTGTATACATATTTTTTGGCACCCCTGGTATTTTTGTCACGTTAGGCTGGTTTGCGCCATGTATGCAGCAATGGCGCCACTGAGTGTCTAAATGGAGAAGTGGCCAGAAGGGGTTGGAAAAACACTCAAAGAAAAGTGAACAGAAGGCGAAACTCTTCTTCTCTGGCAGAAAGGGTAGCATCACAATGTAGCAACCCCGATGACCACCCTTTCCCTGCCAGGATCTGAGGTTGGTGCTAAGAACTATCAGCCAAGAGGCAGGGAAAGTGACGCATTGTACCCTCTGCAGACATCCAGGCCTTGCGGGCATGGGTCAGCCTGCTCCACTACCCGCGTTTTCCCAAGTATCCTTCCTCCTTCCCTCTCTTTCTTCCTAATAATGACAGCGAACACTGATGTACTGCATATCAGGCATTGTTTGAGTGCCTTATGTATACTTGCTGAGCACCTACTGTATGGCAGGGCCCGTGGTGTCCACATGGGAGGCATGAGGAATCCCACACCTGTTTCTGTCCAGCCCATGAATTGGACAGGATTTTTTTTAATGATTTTTCATTCTTTTTTTGTGAGTCAGGGTCTCACTCTGTCACCCAGGCTGGAGTGCAGTGGCCCGATCAAGGCTTACCACTGCCTCGACCTCCTAGTCTCAGTCATTCTGCCTCAGCCTCCTGAGTAGCTGGGACTATGGGCACACGCCACCATGACCAGCTAACTTTTTAATTTTTTTGTAGAGCGAAGTCTCGCCATGTTGCCCAGGTTGATCTCAAACTCCTGGGCTCAAGCAATCCTCCCACTTCAGTCACCCAAAGTGCTGGGATTACAGGTATGAGCCACTGCACCCGACCCTTGGTTTTTCCATTTTTAAATAGTTGGAAAAAATTGAAAGAAGGATAATAGTTCATGATACGTGAAAATGTTACAAAATTCAAATTTCAGCATCCATAAATAGTGTTGCTGGAAGGCTGCCATGCCTGTGTGCTTAGTAATGTCTGTGGCTACTTCTGCACCCCGAGAGCAGAGGCGAATAGGCTCAAGGGAGATCACATGGCCCCCAGTGTCTAAAAGACCTGCTTACCTGGTCCTTTACAGAAAAGTGACTAATTCCAACACCAGCACATCCCTGGAGAGCGGCCGTGTGGTGGACGCTGCTCTCAGCTTCTCCACGTGTTCACTGAACACTCAGCCCTCCAGGAAGGTGCTGCTGGGGACTGAGATCTCCCTTCAGACATGAGGAATTGAGGTGCACATGGGGGGGCTTCCTGTGCAAATTTTTACAGTCAGTAAGTGGTAAAAGCAGGATTTGAACCCAGGCAACCCTGACACAGAGTCTGTGATTTTAATAGGAAAGAAAATCCAAAGTAAAAGGAAGGAAGTTAGCAAAAAGATTGGTATGGTTTTCTGGCTGGGTACAGGGGCTCATGCCTGTCATCCTAGCACTTTGGGAGGCCGAGGCAGGAAGATCCTTTGAGCCCAGGAGTCTGAGACCAACTTGGGCAACATAGTGAGACCTCATCTCTACAAAAAATTAAAAAAAAAAACTAGCTGGGTGTAGTGCACTCCTGTAGTCCCAGCTACTCAGGAGTCTAAGGTGGAAGGGTCACCTGAGCCCAGGAGGTGGAGGCTGTGGTGAGTTGTGATCGGGCCAATGTACTCCAGCTTCCAGCAACAGAGTGTTTTTCTCTGATGGCTACTTTGTGCTTTGTGAACACTAGGTAGCAGATTTTTCCACACGAAAATATTCCCCTTGTCTTTTTGTTGTTGGTGGGTAACCAAAACATGATGAATCTGCCTGCTGGGTACCCTGAAAACCCACTCGAGAAGTGTCGATGTCAGCATTGCCACCACCATTTCACAGAGGAGGAAACAGGCCCAGAGAGGGTGAGCGTCCTGTCTGAGGTCAGGTGAAGGCCAAGCACACCCGAGACTCTTCTCATTATGGCAGCCACAGTGTGGGGATGGTGACAGGAGAGAGGGGGAGGAGGTTGGGGGGAGGAGATGCAGGAAAAGGAGGAGGGGAAGGAGGAGGAAGAGGGAGGAAGGACAGAAAGAGGAGGGGA